GCATTCAAACCCACCTTGCAGTGACATTCTGAATTCCTTCCCTGAGATCATCCAAGGTGCATGCCTTGAGTTTGACAGTGATGTCCATGGAGCCATCTGAGAAGATGTGCCCTGCGGATGCCATGAGGTGCAGCCGGAGCTCCCCGAGGCGCAGCCTGTCACTGTGCACCGAGAGCAGAGACCCCTGCACAGGGACACAGGGCAGGGTGAGGGACCCTGAACAAAGCTGGGACACCTTTGCCTTGCTCCCAACCATGAGCATCCTCATCCAGCAACTGAAAGATCTGACTAGCCTGTTGCTGTCATCAGTCCTCCACTCATACAAGTAAGTTCAAGAAATTCACTGAGAAAACCAAAATCCTGCTGGGCTGCAGTGAAGCTGTTTCTGCACCACACTGGCAGCAGTTGCTCAGAATGCTTCACTGAAGGATAAACTATTTGAACTCTATCCCTCCACTCCCATCACTCTAACTCATCTACAAGAGCACCTCAGCAATAAGTGGGAATTATATGGCAGTGAAATTAAAATAATACCCCATTACAGTGTCCTTCCCTGTGAGGCTCACTGCACAAGAACATCTTAAAAATTATACACAAAAAACATTCACTATACACAAAGATGTATAAAGCAAGCACCTTCACATCTACACAAAGCAGACTTGATTAAGTCATAAGAACAAGACAACACCTCACATCTTTCTCTTCTGTTTTCAGCAGAGAGAGGATGCCCATGATTGCTCATACCCAGGGATATGCAAGAGGAAATTATGGGTAATATATAGCTTGGATCTGCTTGCTAACTCTAGAGGCAGCATGCATAGAACTAGCACTGCCTGAACTAATCATTTCTACTTTTGAAATATTTATTTTTATTCTGGCTAACTGGAATCAAAGTTTGAATGGCCAAATCAAATGCTGGCTGGTTTTGGTGGTTTAGCACTATTTTTAGTGTGACTTTCAGAAATGCACACACCTTCTTCCTCTTAAGGACACTGCCTGCCCAGGAAAGCTCAAGGCTCCACTAGGAAAGCATTACAAAGCCAGTGCAGCTGATATAACTTCATTTTTCTGACCTGAGTTCTGTCCATGTGAGAAGCCCTGGCTGCCCACCCCACCTGTGTGTTAAAATCTTTGTCACAAACCTGAGTTGTGTCACTGTTGTACAGAGTTACAGAAAGGGACTCAAAATTGAAGTCAAATTTAAGCAATGTAGAGCACTCCACAGAAGACTGAACTGCAGAATCACATTTTTGTCCAGAATCAACAAGGGTACCTGTCAGTGAAAAGAAGACATTTTTACATTTCTTCTGAACACTGGGCTTGCTGGTTTTGGGGTTTTTTGTTGTTGGCTGTTTTTTTGGTTTTTTTTTTTTTTGGTTTTTNAAATCCTAAACCCTGTGTCTCACTCTCTAATTAACCAATCCCTTCACCATTCACCCCGGTGAAACCCTCCTATCCTCATACAGGTGTCGTCTCCTGTGTAGGATCAAAGTCCAGCCACCAGACACTTCTGGAACATTCCAGGACTCCCACGCCCCCCAAGGGTGGTCTTGGAGGCTCGGCACCTCAGGACTGAGGTGCTGAGATCCCACACACAAGGTCCTGGGCTTCCCAACCCCTCGCAGAGTTTCTTCACTAAGAAACTTTTAATGTCATTTACAAATGCACAGCACAGGTTTCAGACAGAGCTCTAAGTGCTCAAGTCCTGCACCTACTGATAAAGATTCACCTTTCAATGGCACAGGCCCCTCCTCTCTTCTGAATAATCAGTGATATGAAAACAGAGTTTTGAGTGCTACAGATATGCCAGCAAAGGGACATGCCTGCCACCCTTCTAATTGTTTTTTTTACCATGAAACACTGGTTTCCTTACCGTAGTAACATTCTTGCCTTGTTTTTCTTTGAGAAAAGCACAGGCCAACACTTTGAAGGCCATCACTTGAGCAGTCATCCTTTGTGCAAGCTTGTCTGATGTCAGAGAAAAGTCACATTGGAAGGAAACTTTTAAGGCAGGGGCATCAGCACTGGTCAAATTAGCAACAAATACAATTTCTGGATCCAGAATCACAGCTTTTACTGTCATGTTTGGCCGTACAGATATCTCTGTGAAAACAAGGTAAAAAAACCACCTTGAATATAAAAAGCAGAAAGAGGAAAGCTATCTACTGTGTCAATGGCCAATCTACACATTCTGAAGAATAAACTGATTTCTTAAGTCTGATGCCAAGACAGCATCTTGAAAACTTTTGGATGGGTAATTTTCAGTACGAAATCTGCAAAGGAGGGAAATGGAGGTGTGTGGAAACTGCTTTTACAGACCTGTATCTGCCTTGGATTTCCCAGCAGCAACTTGCTTTAATTGGAATTGTGCAGATCCTTCAGCTGAAGACACTGGCATTGACTTAATGAAAAAATGTGCTACTGCCAACAAAAATTCCATACTAGCACATATGTACAGCTTGTCGAGGACAGCAACAACTTCAGTTCCATCTTTATCCTGCTTGTATCTTATATCAATCATAGAAGTGTCATTTGTGTCATCTTTCTTGTCTATCATTCTGGAAAACAAGTTCAATAAGAAACATCTCAAACATCATAACACATAGATCTAGGAAAACAAAGATGCAGAAGTACTGCCATTTTTAATCCCCACGCCCTTTATAAAGAAGAATTACTATATAAACAAGCTGTGTTTCTTCTAGAAATAAAAGGGTAGAGGCTTTTCCAGCAGAAGAGTAATTTCATTTACGACTAGTTGCTACACTTTTGAAAGTATGCATGCAGCACATGACAATCACACTGAAGTTTCAGTGCACACAACTCTCTCCTTGAGGCTGGGTGTCCTCTATTCAGCTGTTCTACAGTTTACTGCAATATGCCAGCCTCCAAGATTTCTTTTTGTTTTAGACACCTTGAGAAATCAACATAAAGGAGTAGAAACTTCTTGAATGTTATTAAAATTGTTCATTGCTTAAGCACAGATTATTACAGGCCACAACTGACTGCACTGAGACAGAGTAAGGATCCATCCTGAACTAGGTGAAGGGTCTGGGAGAGGTGAAGGGTCTGTGGAGCTAAAGCTGAAGGACAGGCCACACTCCAGAGACAGCAAGGAGACAGAGAAAGAAAAACAGAAAAACCACGAGGTCAATCTGCCCCCGACCTAGGAATTCCTCCGATAAAGAAGAATTAGTGCTAA